CAAGACTTCATAGTCTTTTACATTTATGTACACTGTACTTGTATGTTTTTCAGTATATATGTTTTACACGTTATTTTTAATATATATGATGATTAGGGTAAAAATGCATTGAAATTTCTTGTGTCAAAAAGAGTTTCGCTATCCACCCAGCTCCATTCTGCCTTTGTTTTTTTAAAAGAAAATCTACCCCCTATATCTTCTTTGATCTTCTCAGAAGAATTCCGGCTCCACCCACAACCGAGTAGTCAAAAGTCAACACCTATAACCAGATTGCTGATAGATAGGAACAAGGGCCAAAGTTGTAAATGTAGGAAAACTGTCGGCCTCCCTTAACTAGGGTTAATAGAACCAGAGTCTCTAGTTACGACCTGTGACTACCGACCCTCGTCATCTCTGTCTCCCTATATTTAATAATCTTCCCCAACGAGCGTCGGTGACTCAATGCGAGTTAGCCTCGAGACAAAGATTGATAAAAAAATAGCGTAAACGATTTATTTTATTTATTTATAGCAACTATTTTTCTTTTTTAAGAGACAAAAATCTGAAAAGGGTGGGGGAGGGAGATTTGGTATATATGGCATGCCCCAATTCCTAAAATGCAGACGTAATCAGAGAGGGAAATGGGAGATTCAAGCGGTTCAGTTTCCATTCACATGGACACAATCACGCTTGGTGGAAAGGTAAACTGCATTTTGCATACTTTTCGTTGTGGGTGTATATGTATACATATGCATGTTTACACATATATGAAATGAATATGGAAGTGCGAAGCTGAAAATATGAATTTGTTTGGCTGGTGAGAAAATGCACGAACAAAAAGGAAACGATCATATCAATTCTCCTTGTTTGAAGGCGAAGCAATTTCTTTTTTCTTTTTTTGTCGAGAACCGGTTACATGTCTGGCTGTTTGGTCTACATTTGTTTGGTTATCATAGATTTCATGACATTTTAGCTTCAGTTTCATTTTCTAATTATTCATTTAGTGTTGTTTCTAAGCTTGTTTTCTTTCTCTTTTTCGTTTCCTTCCCCTTCATCATTTGTTGGTTTTGATGTTTCGTTGCGTACTTTTAGTACCTGTTTTGGATTCGGATGTTTTGTATGGGGCGAACATTGGCCTGTGGTTAAATAAGGTCAATTAATTTTATTTCTTGGACTTTGGTATTTGTTGTCTTTTCCAATGTTTGAAGTTTTTAGGATGTTTCATTTCTTGCTCTAAATAGTGTTTTAAGACTTGGGTCTGCTGTAAGCGTCCTTCTTGTGAAACTTGAAATCGGGTGTCTGTTGTTCATGAAGTTATGTCCTTGAGTTGCCTTGACCTGTGTAATGAATTTAAATTTCTCCATTCCTGCACAAAATT